CTGCCAGCGGCCTGGGGCAGGATGCGACTCCCCCTCTGCTCGCAGGCCGCCCAGCACGAACCCCGCCGCCCCCAGAGGTGAAGGGGGACCGCCCCTCCCCGTGCTCAGGATGGAGGAGGAGGGGGAGGGGGAAAGGGGGGTGAATGAAGTGGTGGAGGGGGAGCCACACAAGCAGGGGGAAAGAGCACAAATCGCCCCGACGCGCGGCTGGACTGGGGAGGGGAAGCGTGGGCTCGGGAAGAGCCGGGTCTGCGCTGCAGAAGGCGACGGGACCCCCGGGCAAAAGCTACCAAGCAGGCGAGCGAGCAAGAGGCAAGTCCCTGGGCGCATGTTTCTGCCCGTGAGGAGAGCGGGCCTGTGCCAGGTGAGCGTCAACTGCTTCCCAGGCCACGTGCACCGGGCTGCGGAAGGGCGCCCGGGCCAAAATGCAGAGGCCCGCACAGGAAGCTGCGCCGGGGCGAGCGTAGCGATTCAGGCGCTCGCTGCACTCGGGCTGTCACAACTGCGCAGTAGGGACCAGCCCTGGCAGAGCCACTGGCACTTGGCTCCTGAGCATTGAAGTCACTTCTGAAAATGGGACTTGGGTGCGTAGGCCCCTTGGGCAATTGAAAGAAAGGACCCTTCTTTTCACGCGGAGGCAGAAGCGTGCAGCAGGAGAGCAGGCGTGAGCTCCGCGTTACGCCCGGCGGAGGAAGGGAAGACACCCGACTCTGTTTGCAGCGTAATGTCGCTGTGCTGATGCTGGCTTTTTGAATATTGGTGGCTTTGCGCTGAGAAGTACGCGGATCTGCACTTGTGGGCTCTGCCGCTTTGGTGGATATTTGCTGGTGCTTTAACAGAACTGATTTTGCCTCTGGGAGCCCAGCTGGGCTGCCTCTTGCCATACAGGATGTTTGCTTAAATGCGTGGGGCTGACCGTTCAGGAGATGGCCACTCATATTTCCGGCATTTCCCAGGTGCGGGCTGCGGACCAACCGTACTTTCGTTTAGCTGCCCCACACACCTACGTACCCCAGCTCATCTTGTCCCAGCCCTCCAGAGGCTACTGCTTGCCAGCTCCATTCAACCATCCAGTCTTCACTGTGCTTTCCAACCGACCAGGTCTAGTTACAGATCCCCAGAGTCCCCCTCCTTCCTTTATAATCTTACCAGACCTGTACCCAGCCAAGCTCAGCCTCTCATCTGTCCCAGGTAGCTTATCCCTTGCCTCCCATTTAGCCTCCTGCTCTTTCAAGTCCATCCAATGCAACCTAAGGCTTCTCATGCCACCATCTCCCATCCCTCCAACCCTCCTTTACCCATGGACTCCCTCCCTGCTCTGCCCTTAAACCCCCGTGTCCCGCTCCACCTGTAGCCATTGCTACCTCCCTCTTCCCAAGAGCAGTCTGGTGGGATCTCAGGCAAGATTCAGTCTCAGGACAGACATTCAATTCAAGATCTTACATGACAAATCGTTTCTAAAAATTATTGTCAATCAGATGTCAGCTAGTGCTGTACTCTTGCAGTTTTACATGCATCTTGTAACCTGCTACAGAAAATACAGAGGGAGCTGGCTGGACCAACTAATGGGAAATACGGGATTATGAGTATGGAGAATGGAGTTCAGTGACTCATTTATTACACCTACTGTCACCCTCTCAGCCAGTCATCTCCTCTGGGCAGTCAATAGTTGGTAGCTCGCTGTAAATGCTACGTTCTCTACAAGTAAAAATGTTGCACAATACCATCTCAGGTGAAGTCCTGGGAAAGAGAAGAGATCCTCTTTTAGATTCATTTTTCTTTAAAGATGGAGAAGTTATTCCTAGCCTGCTAAAGTGATAGCTTCATTGATAATGAAATGAGTGCAGCGTACTTTAAGCTGATAGAAAGCACAGAAGTCATATTTACAGTGTAAACCGACAGGACAAATAAAAGGCAGGGAAGGAGCCGAGAGCAGCTCGCCCGAGGTTACGCGCTGGTCTGTGATGGAGCTCAGCACAGAACCAGGTCCCCTGACACCTAGGCCGGTGCCCTAGCCAGGAAGCCACGATCCCTTCGCGTTTCTTAAAATTTTGCAGCAAATCTATAAATGTCATGTTGGTCCCCGTGTTTAAATTTCTTTCTCCTTTGTAACATCAGAAGATATGAAATGCCCAGTCATGCAATGTTAGCCTAATGGTATAACTGACAGCAGTTACTTGTAAGCTCTGTGGGTAAGGTGCTCGTTGGGTTTTTTTCTCTGTATTTATACAACTTGCAGCAAAATGGGGTCCTGGTTTATGGCAGGGAGGACAGTAATACAACTAAGTAATAGCAAAACACCACAAAGCTAACTGAAACTATTCAGATGGACAGATTAGAGCGAAAAAGCAGATTAAATATTTTCTGCCATGCTAACACCTCTGTTTTTAAAGGCAGCACGAGGTGCTGAGTATTGAAAACATGCTTAGTAAAAGTTCAGAGTGATCAGCAGAAGCCAGCAAAACGTGTGTGCTGACTGGGAAGTAGACGTGAGTTCGAACTATAATATCAGCTACTGTCTTCCCTTCCTCTCACACTCTCTTCTCCCAAAGCGTGCCTTTCCTCCAAAGCTGTTTCAGAAGGATTAGCAGAAAAACAGTGCTGTTGCAATATGCCAATTATTTTTCATGGGGAATTTATTAAAGATTTTGCTTTGTCTAAATGTTCCCACTTTTTGTGATTAATTTCAGGGGGAAAATGTAAAAAAAGACCCAAACAAACCCTGAAAAACATTTTTGGAAAATTGGGGGGTGTCAGAATTTTTTTTTTTTTTTTGTGGAAAGATAGTCTTTGGTTTCTTTTCCTTAATAAAAAGGCCATAAAAAACCTGAGTAGTTAATGTCTTCAACAATGTTTTTTCTTTCTTGCAGAAACATATGTTTCTGGCAAAAAGCATTTTCTTCAAAGTTTGATTAAAACAAAGATCAGCCGGCTCTCACACATGCAGATAATTCACTGAGATTATGAAACATAAGCTGTCTGGTAAAATATAACACATTCTTTTTATTGAGTAAGAAACCTCTAGGTTTGATATTATACTTATATATAATGTTCAGTTAAGCCAATATCTCCCTCTACTGGGAAAACAGAATATTGTTTCTGGGGACAGCAATCACTTCCAAAATAAAAATGAACCTCACGGAGAAAAATGCTTTTGCTTCTTGCCGCTTTTTTGCGATGACAAGTAGCACCTGCTTTTTTAATATGAAAAACAACAAGTTTTGACTTTTTGCTTTTCCTAAAGGAATGGAAACTAATGAGACAAATATTATAACAGACAAGTGGTGAAATCCTAGCCCCACTGAAGGCAATGGCACTTTGCCACTGACTTGATTGCAACCAGGATTTACTTAAAGAAATCTGAGCAGCGGAGATAGGAGAGTGTTTTTAGACAGGCTCTTGAAAACTGCGTATGTTTAACTTCTGGCAAACACTTAAGCCTAGATCCTATTTTGGTGCAAAGATGTCTCTAGGTTAGCTTCTGCTTATTCCAAGCCGTCGTGACAAGGCACTGGGCCCATCCTATTTTGCCTGTGGAGATGCATGAGGCCAGGTTCCTATTCCACCTATTAGATGCCTAACTGGATTTAGCGGTGTAGGTTGTAGCCGTGTTGGTCTAAGGACATGGGCAGACAGGGTTCTTTGGGTGAATCTGATATCTTTTATTAGACCAGCTTAAATAGTTGGAAAACAGTTTGTAAGCAAGTCACTGACTGCCTATCTTGTATGCAGCCCAGCCCAGCCTCTGGCTTCTTTACTTTTCCTTCCATGCAGGAAGAGCACACACCAACTGCAGAAACTTCCCCAGCCCGACGAAGGGTTTTTGAACCCAAAAGCTTGCTTAAAAATTGTTTTCCAACTATTTAAGTTGGTCTAATAAAAGATATAAGGTTTTTAAATGGGTTACCATTCCACCATGCCTATGCCCAGACAACCGGGAATGCAATAGGTGGTGTGTCTTCCACCTTCTCACTGCTTTTTGTGACTTGGTCTTAAGGCTCGGACAACAGCACGGTACAGAAGATGCGCTCATCATGGTTCAGGAGCTAGAGCACTGTGGAATAGGAGGACTGCACCTAGCGGTCAAAGTCCACCTAGGTGTTTAATATGTGGACAAGGATCTGACCCAGAGCTTTCATGGAGGGTGAAGTAGAATTGTGCTTATTGACTCAGATGCTTAATCTATGGCCGTGTCTACATGTCGTCCTACAGCGACATAGCGATGAGCTACATCGCTATGTGGTGCGCTATGGCAACGTAACGATCACATGGGTCTACACGTGATTGTCAAGTACTTCGCCATAGTGGCATGCTCCCCCGGTATCGCGCGCCACTCTGGCAGCATAGCGGTGAAATCTAACTGCACCACGCACACAGCTCAGTAACCACCCACACTGCACCATGCGCTAGTACTTCTGGAAGGAGAGGAAGGCGTACTTCCAGAGGCATTGGGACGGGATGGGGAGAGTCTGTAACACTGTGCAGGAATGCAGGACCCATACGTCAAGTCACCCACGGGTTACGTGCTAGAGCACGGCAACATGGATCCGGATAATTGGTGCTGCATTATAGGAACAAGTGGTAGCACTTGGATCTGATCAGGATGTGAAAGAGTAGCCGTGACTATAAAAGCCAGAGAC